AACAAAACCATTAATTCTTCTTTATGTTCTTGGAAATGATTAGATGAAGAATTATTATTATTATTTATTATTGTTATTATTATTTATAAAAAGTGCAATCCTTAACCAAATACCAAAGGTAGAAAATGGGAATGACAGCTAAAGCTCAACGATGTTGCAAGCCGCTTACTACACAATCTTGTTATGTGAAAGATAAGTAATCAGCAGCAGTGAGGGCCCTAACCCAGCTGACACATGAATGCATACCTTTGATTGATTTTCCATTATAATACACTTGGAAAGCAAAATATACACACATGGCATGACACTTGTAAGAAGGTAAAAAGGGCTGTGAGCAGCTATCCAGTTGCTTGTCCAAAGATGCCCCCAGTTAAATGTTTCTGATAAGTAAAGGTTAATTGTTCACTGTGGGTCGAAGACTCGGGCTGATGCCAGCGTCAGCTCAAACAGCACACCAAAACGTGGTCCTTCCAATGAGGCACTCATTTTCCTGGCACCTCACTAACCCAGAGCTTTCCTGCTGGTTGCTTTAGGAATTTAGTGTCAAGTATTGAAATGTGCTCAAGTCAGATGTTCTTGGTTAGAGCTGATCTGGTTCTGGTAACAGCAGACATAACACCAAATGAAAAGCACAGTTGTCTTACATAGAATAACACGGTATTATCTTCAGTTGCAAGGGCTGCATTCAGGAAATCACTTCCATGTGTGATTAAATCAGTCCTTCCCCAGGACAGCATTTATAAATCCTTTTCTAACTTTCTTCTCATACCTTGTAAGTCCTACTCACTTTCATGAGTTGAAGAAAGTTCCCTGAGGTTAAGCAAGTACTTAAATACGGTTCTGAAGAGATGCTTTTGAATGGGGTAGAAAAGACTGCATTTTTTGTATATGCAGCCGTAGGAAGGTTGTCTGCAGTTCTTCAGTCTAGTCCCAGCGTTTGGGGTTATTTTCTGGCAATCAAAGACCATCTACTGGGTCCCACAGAAGTGCTTGATCCCCAGAGAGGACACAAGGAGATGTTGAAATCGTACCATCCCGCTCACAAACTTCCTCATTCAGTTCAGTTGCAACAAGACTTTTGTTGAAAATAAAGCAGGAACATGGGCTTTATGCCCAGCAGGACCCAAGTCCTGAGCTGTGTTTCTGGCCAGCTGGGTGAGCTTTAAGGTCCTTTCCAACACAAACCATTCTCATTCTATGACTCCATATACCATCACCTTCTAATGGGAGATAAGTAGACACAGCCAGAAGCTGACTTGAACAGTGAAGACAAATATTGCCCTGTCTTCTTGTAATAAATAGCATCATTGGTTTCCCAAGCTGAGCAGTGCCTGGAGGCAGAACCCTGTGGCAGGGAGGGAGGAGGAGGAGGTGGTGAAGGCTATGGGAAGGGCGGGATGTGTGAAAACTGCCTGTTGCTTCTGTAAACAGCAGTCCATAAACCGGTTTCCTTTAATAGCCTCAATTGCTGTTGCCCTAGTTAGGTAGGAGCAAGCACGTGGATGCTTACTCATGCTCAGCTCACACCTTGGTTTTGTGTTGTTGACCCCCGAGTGTGGGGAAGCCATGCTGCGGTATGGTGAAGTGCTTCCTTGAGCAGATGCCAGAGCAGTGCTGTATTGAGATGTTCAGTTCCACCAGCTAAAGCCAGCTGAAGCTTCCAAAGATGCATCATGTTTCCCGGCATGTGGTTGGAGAGACCGGAGTTAGTTTGGGTTCAGGCACAGGTCGATCTCCACCAGGAAGCTTTGAGGGCTCCGTGTGGTGTTTCCTACTGGAGATGGACCCGTTTCCAAGGATTTAATGAGTGCAACTGCAAGAGCTGGAGGTGAAGAAGTTTCTCCCCAGGATCAATTTGCTGCATGGCCAATACCCAAACCTTGTTTAAACACTGAGGTTGCACACAGAGGCACTGCAGGCCTGCAGCATCCTAAAGCCTGAAGAGAGTCTGGCTTAATTTCATATGACTTCATTGAAAGCAGACTCTGATCCTCTGCTATCCCAGCCATTGCAGTAGGAAGGAGCAGGCTGCCATTGAGAGCAGAGCGGTGTCTGCAGAAGTGTTTCCGTACAGCGAAGAGCGGCTGTCAGTCATCTCATTGCTCCTTGTGCTTTCCTGCCAGCTTGCTAGTGAGAATCTGATGAGCCCTGTATTTGTTATACTCCCTTCAGGTATTGTTTGCCAAATCCAAACTTGCTCTGTAACTGCAAATGGAGATCAGGTGAAAGAACCGAATCCTTAAATTCTTGCTCAGATGCTACTCACACTCGTTTTGGTTTTCCAAGCTTTTGTGTTCAATGCATGGCCCCTGTGCTCAGACCGGAAAGCTGGAGCTGAAGAGCTGTGTAGATGTTTGTATTGAACAACAAAACGAGCTCCTTCTGTTGCAGCATAACAGCTTGGAGATTTTCCTCCTTGGTCTTGACTATCGATAGGGCAAAACTTCCAGAAGCATCTAAATCTTCTTGACAGCCTCTGACATGGGGCTCTTAAGGCACAAACAGTCCCAGCAATCTTATTCAAGTGTTCTGCAGGCAAATAATAACCGAAGCCTCTCCCCTGTGGTGTCCAAAGGCTGAGTTCTGTGACACCTGCAGCTGTGCTAGAGGAGAGGAGAGGTTAGGCGAACACCTTGCCCCTCTGAAGCGCTGAGGTTGATTCTGTTCCCGCTGGCTTCCCAGGGAGATGAGGGCTCTGAGCACCTAGCAGGATGCTGTCACACAAAGTCGTGGTGCTGCAGCAGTGGAACGAAAGCAAAAGTAGGGCTTTGCTGTCAGAGGGCATGAAATAACAGCAAGGATTTCCTGGCAGAGATCTCTTTGCCAGCTTCCTTTCAGGTTTCATTCACTTGATGCATTTCAGTGCTTGCGTTTGAATAATGTTCCTCTGAGAAATGAAGGGCTGTATTCAGCCAGGCGGGCTGTGCCTTAATCTCTGTGCCTAGTCCGCAGACAAAAACGTGGGTCCTCTGAAGAGCAACTGAGGGCTTCAGTAAGACACTGAGCAGGGAAGCTGTCAAGAGCCAGGTAATAGGATCTATGCACAGAGAGGCTTCGCCTGGCTGGGTCTGTTGGATATCAATGTGATGGGTGCACAGGAGCTTTCTCTCACGTTGCTGTAGTTTCTGCCTTAGTTTAACAGCCTGGCTGCTGTGCTTCTTGGTGTCTGGCACATCTAGCACTGGGGGCCTGTGATGTCTCTTTAGGTGACCCAGGACCAGGGCTGAGGTACAAGGTCACTTCATGTAGGTGGAGGCAGAATGGATGGTGCCTCTGGTTTTCAGGGGTGTCTATAGGATAAAGGCTCACCCTTCCAGCACTGGCTGTGGTGTCTCTGCAGGGTTACCTGCATCTGGGAGAGCTGGGACACGTAAAGCCATGCTGCTTCTGCTGCAGAAAGTTCATATTCTCCACTGTGGAAGGAGCAGCATCTCCATTTCTTCTGTATTTGGAGCTATAAGAATAGATGCTGCAGCCTGTCTGGCAAAGTGCATTGATAACTTGACAAATCTATTGACCAGGGAATGGCACAGGAAGAACAGACTCCTCCACACTGACTTTTTGGAACCATCACTGATAGTACAGAGCGTTTGTAAGGCACAGCAAGTTCCATGTGCTACATGACCTAACCTCACCCTCGCTAATTAGTATTAGACAGATACCAGAGCATCTTTGCAGGGCTGCTGTTGCGTTTGCAGCATGCTCTGCAAAATCCTTCTGGTTCTGAGGGATACTCTTTCAACTTGTCTAGTGTGAGCAAATACTTTGAAGCAGGCACTAATCAAAGACTTAGAGCAGGACTTTCTTCATCATCCAACACCTTCTTTAAGTTTAAATATACTGAGATGAAAGTGGTTTATTGCAGTGAATACACCGTCTAAGAAGTCTTATCAAAACCTCAGTCACAATAAAGTTGAGGAATTCACTAGCTGTAAACTGCTGCCATTAATGTTGTCAGTTCATTTAGTATTTCATTGTTAATGTACTGAAAACGTCCAACTTGGAGCCTTCGAACTGTTTTGTGGTTGCTGATGTTGCAGCGACAGATGGTACTTTAAAGCCAATAAGTCAAGTTTTTGCTGCTAAAGCTGGATTGTAAATAGTCACCTATGGAATTCAACAAACTTCTGTAACTTCAGTGCTGCTTCTGCTGGTCTAATCCTGTACAAACAGTGCCCAGGAAAAACACTGGGAGAGTTCCTTCAACTTCAGTCATTCACACTTGATGCCATTCCAGTAAAAGTAAAGTATCGTTGGTAAAGCTGAATCTTTGCAGATTCAAAGGTAAGTATTTGTGTGTTTATCAAAAGGAGGTGACTATGAGCCTGTTTGTATGATCCCTGTGTGTAGTCATATGGTGGCTGTGCAAGAGTTGCTTTTAATCATCAAAGGGAATAAACTGCTTTAGGGCAGGAACCGGAATGGTAAAATCACCACAATTGGGGTGAGAAGATAAAACTCCAAACTCCAACCAAAGTTCTCTCTGCTTTAGTTGAAATTCTGTCTTTTAGAGTGCCTTGTAGCATCAGATACCATTGCAGGTTATAAAGTTAAGGGCAGTATTTGTATTTGAAACCACAGGGAAATACCTGTCCCCAAAGAAATCAATGGCCACGCTTGCACTGTAGGAGCACTGTAGACACCTGAAGCCTGGGATGGAGTTATCCAGCTCAAGGATTGATGCTGATGCCCATGTGCATCTTCAGTGTGCAGCAGACCATGGTGGCAGACTAATGGGAAAGAGCCTGACTGTCCCATGAGGAGCTGACTTCCATGTGGTCTGTCCTGCTACCACCTGGTGAGGAGCAGGTCGATGGTAGATCAGGATGTCAATCATTTCCCCCTCTGTTCAAACCCCCCTCAGCCATTATATACTTGCCTTGTGTTTGCTGATGTCTGAATGCTGTTGCTGGATTGAATGTGCTGTTTTTTCTTGCAGCTCTGAAGCCGTTGTGGGTTGGTTGTCAAGTTAATGATTTATACCTTAATGCTCCATTTAGGGCCCTTGTGTTCATCGCTCACGGCGCTGGGGAGCACTGCGGCCGCTATGATGACTTGGCTCAGAAGCTGACAGGACTTAACTTGTTTGTTTTTGCCCATGACCATGGTGAGTAGCCTAAAACAGTCCTTGATTTACAGCAACCCAGGCCTTTACTGAAGTAAATGCCATTAAAGCTACTCAGCAGTGAGAAAAGAGTCAATGAAATATTTACAGCTAGGCATAAATGAGAAAGGGATCATCTGTTGCTTTGTAAAGGTCTGGATATTGAGTCTGTGAAAAGCTATTCCTGTTTACCTTGAGTTTGCCTCAGCCTTGTCCTTGACATTACTGCTGGTGCTATTTTAACCTCTCTGTACACGTTTATTTCTCTTTCACCTGTCCCTTGAGGGATGAAGAGGTGTTGTCCGCTGTGGAAGTAGGACTGGGAGCCATTTCTGCTGAATTCATGGTCAATGTCCTAAGTGATCCCAGAGGGGAGGCTGACAGCATAGCTTTCATATATATATATATAAACTTGCTTTATATATATATATATAAAAACTTGTCTGTGTGGCAGAAAGTCCATGAGGAAGGAGATGCTGTCAGTAGACCAGAGGCAATATGTAGAAAGAGTTACTGAGCTCCAGGACACACAAGCAATTTGTTCAGAGCCGCTGTGGGCCTCCCAGGAGAATGCGGTTGCTCACTGTGCATGCTTAATGTTGTGCCTTAGTCCTTCATTCCCTTAGAGGAGGGAGGGATGAAGGTTTTAAGTAGAGTAAAATAAGAGTATTCGAAGCAACGAACCTAGAAGGAATGATAAAACATTGGATTTATCGCATGGATCTGATACAGAGGATGCCTCTTCTGTTGGTGGAGAAGGGCCTTTGGTGTGAAGGTTCCTTTCAGGCATGTTTTATGCTGTATAATAAGGCAGTTTGTTGCTCTCTTTTTCCTTGAACATCTTTTTGACTAGAGAAGGATAAATATTTCATGGTTACGTTTCCATAGACTGATGTTGCTGGATTCATTAGTTCACTTAGTACAAATCTGGTTGCTCAGGCCAGTTAACAACTTCCTTCTCCCACTGAAACCTAGTTTGGGTTGCAAATTCAGCTTGGTTTTCTTCACCAGCAGTGGGGAGAGGGTAAAGAGGAACCTGAAAGCAGAGCAATGGAAACACAGCTGTGTTGCACAAAGAGCTAATTCAACTGAGCCTAGATTCACTGTGAGTTAGAAAGACAATTAACAATATATTAGGCTCTGTTAAATAGTCTTTACACCTAAAGAGGTGAGCGATGAGGATAAACTTTGGTGGAATACAGGTTACAGCCTGAGCTGGATGCCAGCAAGTGCTAAGGACATGAACACCTCCATTGCCAAATTTGCTTAGATTAGACTTGGAAGTTTGTAGCTTTCCTCCACCATTTTCTCTATTCCAGATCTCTTGCATCCCTTCCTTTGGGTATCTTTGGGTGATGTCAATTATCCAATTGTGTTAGCAAAATACTTGCTTTGTGGTCCCCATCTCTTACAGTAGCTCGTAGTCTCACAAGCTTGGAGTAGCTTTCCTGACCTGCTCATTTGTTCTGGTTCTGCTATTGTCATGGATAAAATTCCTAATAGAGGCACATTATGTAGGAGATTATGAATGCAGTTCCACAGCGTGGCTAGCGTGATTTCCCAAATGAGTTAGGAAGTTACTAGGGCTGTAGTATGCGTGACTTGACTGATTTATATTGTGTCTATGCTTCAGCCAAAAGAAGGAAAAATCATTTCCATTTGTATTACTGAGCCTGTAAGTGCTTATGCCCTGGTTTTAACCCCTGCCCAGGGCTCTGCACCGTCTCCTGCTATGCCAGGCTCCAGCACGAAGGTGGGCACTACACAGAGTAACAGCATTCACCCAAATTGCTGTCTTAGTATTGCCCCCTGTAAGATGTCACCAGCTCGGTTCTCTGTACATCAGGATTTGTACATTTAATTTTGGGGTATTTCATAGTAATCCCCACACCGTTGGACATCATAGATATGTATTAGAAGTTTTCCACTGCTGTAGTGGAAATCTAATTCCAGATGCCCTCTTACATCTAATATTATTAAATTGCTTTGGTTTGTATCAGTCCCATGAGAGAGAAAAATGGAATTTCTTTGTAATACAGCATTCTTCCTATGGTCTTTTCTATGGTGTTTTTTAGTACCCAGGTGACATTTCTGGGTTTACTTGGCATGAAGCCCCATGAAGGCAGAGTTCCTGCTGCTGGGCTGTGCATTTCTGCAAGCTCTGGGTATTCTGAAATGCCATCTCGCTTTTTCCATTTCCTTTCTATATTACTATTATTTTATTATGGCAGCATTCCAAGAACAGGAAAAAGAGGCAGACAAATACATGTGCTTATTGGCAATCAATTTAGGAAAGCCCTCTGAGAAGGAACACCCGTGGGAGAGTCATCAAACTGGAGTGATATTGTGATTCTTCAATCAGTCGCAGGCAGATTGCAGCTCCTGTAGCTATAATGCAGTACTTTTTAGGGATCTGTAAAGCTGAGAGCCAAGGAAAATGAGAATAGAGAATGTGGCTTTGTTTTCTCATACCAAACATTTTCAGTCGGTAAGGCACATGATGTTCCAGCTATGCTCATCTCTCTTCCTATAACATCTCGTTTGCTGAGATCTTATTCTCTATGCTTGCATTCCATGGCCAGAACTCAGAGCAACCACAATTTCACCTTCAAAAGCACATGTCAACTAACAGCACTTACAAGCACATTTCCAAGATGCACATGCCACAAAGATGGAAGCTGGCGCTTCCTAAGGGTTCTGTGCCTGTCTTATGTGAAGATGAGGAAGGCAAAATACATATCCTTAGCCTGGCAGCAGTTTCCAGCCCTTGGATTTGCTCGAGGACCTCTCCCCCAATCTCCTGCTCTCTCCAAGCAGAATAAACTCTTTACCTGTCCTGGTACCCAGAGACCTCTGACTCTCTGACCCTCTTTGAAGCTGTTGAATATCCCACTCTCGAGTGATGTGTAACCTCAGATCAAAGCAGAGGGAAAAGTTGCAGCTCTAACAGCTTATTCACACGCTTTAGATGTTTCTAGCTGAAGTTCAGCTTTCTTCTGCAGCCCTGCTGCTACTCTGTGTGTGGTGAACGTTTGGGATGGGTTTGCAGGTCCCTCTCAGATACCTACTGCTGCTTGTGCTCCCCGTTAACTTTCTCTGTTTTCCCCTATTTAACAAAATGCTTACTCCCAAAAAGCAGAAAATAGCTGGAGCAGAGATGCTTCAAACACATCAAGTATCAGCTGGTTTTGGTTTGGGTCTTTTTCCAAGTGATTGCTGTGTTGTTCTTGCAACTGTTAAAAGACCATTTTGTTGATGAGAACAGAAGGCTTTTATTTATTCATAGCGCTGGGGAGGATTGATCTACACAGAAAGGTTAAAAAGGACTAAACATGATCAAACTGGGAGGGGGGAAATGACTAAGAAGGATGTCAGCATTAATAAGAGCAGGAATTAGGGTCGTGCTGTGGGTGAGAAGTGACAGCTCATGCACAGCAGCACGAGGGAATGTTCCTGGAGAGCACTGCTCCCCGATGATGCGCTCAGGCAGGCTTCGGGGCCATCTCCAGGGATGGAGTCAGGAAAGCCTTGGCAAGCGCTGTCTGGAGCTGGTTTGCAGCACAACTGCTCCTTGGTGACTGTTAGCGGGGCTGGGTGTGGGACCGCTTATCCACAGCAATCTGTTCTCTTTCTGCTTCCTCCGATGGAGTCTACCTCGCTAGGGCAGGGAAAGTTTAAACTGCTTTTCTGCAGGGACATAGGAACGAATGGCACTGCCTGCCTGCATTCCTCTGACAGGAGGCTTGCAACAGGCTGTGGGCAGGTTTATTTGTTTTGCTCCAGAGAAGGGCTCCTGGACTCCAGCATAATACATGAACATCGCTGGGAACGAAAATCTTCCATAGTACTGCTGGAAGTAGCCACTGGTATGGACCCGTTAGCATTTGCAGGAGTGCAAAATGACTGTTCTCCCCATGGATCCTACCCTCATTCATGCCTGCTGCAGCAGGAGGTAGCTCACATAGAGCTGAGATTGCTTGCACATGAAGTTTCACTACCCGAACCATAGCAGCAACTGCACTGCTACTGATATGTTCCTCCTTAGACAGATGCTCTCCTGGGCTAGGAAACAGAATATAGCACTAGGTGTGTACCTGGTTTGGTGCATCCTCTTCTGGGCTCTTTCTGAAGTGGTGGAAGTTGTTGTCCCAGGAGAAATTCAAAGTGCTGCTCAGTCCCTTGCATATACACACGTCCTGAAGGTACCGGATGCTGCAGACAGAGCTCCCATGGCAGGGTACCACGGCTGGCAGGCAGAGAGATCTGCAGTCATGGAAAACCAGAGTGTTTCCCACACACTAGTGTTGGGAGGGGCAGGAATGCTGTTATAGTTTCCAGCATGGAGCTGGGACTGCAAGGGGCAAGAGAAACCCCGTTGTCAGGCTGAGTTCCCCTCGCTCCCTCTGTATTCCCTCTGCATAAAACCCGGCTCTCCAAGAGTCAGGAAAACTCTTTCCTTTCATGTCTTTGCTAACGGTTCCAACCTACAGACTCCTGGCCTGTTCCTGTTTGTCAGATGAGGACTGCTGCGGGGGCATTTGCCACTGATAGTTCGTTAGAATTGCCAAGCACAGAAGGAAGTTCTTTAGAGCTTCAGATCAAACTTTGCAAGTACATTCCCCATGGGGAAAAGAGCCCTTTTGTCTTCAAATTATCTTGACTTGTCTGTCTTTCAGTCTTTTATGATGTTTCATTTGGAGTGGAGAGAGAGCTGCTAAGGGATGATTAATCTGTCTCACTGTGATACAAGTGTATGGACGTAAATCTGTGCATGTAGCTCTGACAACTGCTAGAGCGAAAGCTCATGACAGAGCAAAACCAACAGGAACAGAAGGGAACACTTCAACGATTCCTTGACCCTTGATCTACATTAAGTGTCGTATGGACCCATGAGCCCTGTCTGGAATTCATCCACTCTCCCCTTTTAGCCCAGGGGAAGATGTCAAAAGCAGGCGCTGATGCCTGCTGCATGCTGTGTGGGCAGAGATGGAATGCGAGGGATA